CCATTAGGTGAGGCCCAAAAACAAAGCCAAAAAAAGTCCACACCTTTGGAAAGACAGGAAGAGAACTCCCGACTCAGTTAAAATTAGAGATACATGGGCCAGAGATTATTATGTTCAGCAGACTGGGTGTTTGCTTTGCTCTCAGCCAACCAGGGTTCAATCCCCAGCAACAAAATAGTCCCCCAAGCCCTCCAGGAGTGATCCCTTAGCACGGTCAGGGGTGCCCCAAAATCAAACATTGAAATCAAAAATTGGAACATTCTGGGAAAGAATAACTTGCAGTGAACCAACAGAAATTTTATGAGTGAAATCTATGTAAACTGATATCTACATAAATCTAAAACAGGTAAGAAAGGCAAATTACAGAACAGCTACACATACTCATTATTATTTGCTTCTGTATTTTTCTGTATTCACATATTGGCATCAGTGAAACGAATTTGAAAAATCAGAGAATAGTAAGATCTTATATAACTTCATATGTACATAAGCAAAAGTATACTATAAAAAGTCTGAGAAAGGAGTTGAGGATTAGGAAAAAGAAATTTCACTTTATTCTTCATAGTCCTATTTTGAAGTTTTTACAAAGGATATGCAATAGTTGTGACATTAAATTTTATCTAAAACACAAAAAATAAAGTTTTATTAAGTAGTTCTAATTTTTTGAGAGTGAATTCAGTTGTATTAGGTCAATGATAGGAAAAAAAAAGATATTTAGTGCCTAAATTGAACGTGAATAGCAACAACATAAGCTATTCCCAGTGGTTCCTAGTCTATAAATATTTCAGCTTATCAGATTGATCACAGAAATATATTTAAAAGATCAAAGACAATTTTGCAATTTGAACTCACTGAAAAACTTTCAATTCGTCCTGCTGCTAAACACTAGATCAAGGTCTTCTCACCACAAAATAGAATAACTGACTATTAGCTTCATCCCCTGCTTGCTTTTGGTTTACAGCAGATGCTTCTCCACTAGACTAAGGCAGAGAAGCATCTCATGTGAACAATTCACAAAGCAACAAATATGAAATAAAATTAAAATGTAAAAAGTTACATGTAATCAATTGAGGAAAATTCAGATAATGCTTAGAGTAATAACATGCTTAAAAGTAGAGATGAAAGTCTGTCAGTATATACAACAAAAAGTCAACAGTAATTAAGTAATTAAGGATGGATATATATATAAGCCATTTTTTCCCTTTCTTTTGTACTTTCCAGGACTTTCAATGCACATGTAAGAAAGTTTAAAAACTAGCCCACAATCCTTTGCCCTCTTTCTTTCTGGATCGACCATTTGCAGTGTCCCCATAATGTCCTCATAATATCCCCATACTGAGACAGAGTCAATTTGCCAACCTCTTAAATTTGGATTGGCCAGGTGATTTGTTGTGGCCAACAGGCACCTACAGTGAAAGAGATTCTTATGTTCCAATACCTAAGTCATTCTTTAAAAACCTTGCCTGTTTCTAATTGCTGCTCCCTTAGGACTTCTGATTCCACCTACTAACAAAGTAAGCCTACCTTGCTATACCCCAAATTTGTGAGACAGTAACTAAAATCAACAGGTATAATCCACATCTGACCTACACTTGAGAGTAGGTCTATGAGTGACCTAGAGAAAAAAAGAAGTGCCCAACTGAGTATAGTCTAAATAACTAGCCTGTAAATAGCCTCGGCTGTTGAGTTATGTCAGTAAGATTTAGGAGTGTGTTAAGCGTCAAAAACTTGCTAACAGGGGCCAAATATATCATACATGGGGGTAAGGCACTTACCTTCCCCAAATAAGGATTTAAAAATAAATATATATATATATATATATATATATTACCAAACAATTCTTTAAAATAAATAACATGCTGGCAGAAATGCACTATTTTTTTTCACCAATTGCTTGAAACTTCTATAACCTTGCTCTGGATGGTTATAATTTTCATTTCATAATCAACATTTCATAATGTTCTCACAAGCACTACTGGAATGCTCAGGGTCAGTCCAGAGCCACGCAAGCTGGAAACTTGCAGAAAAATGCATTACTTTCCAAAATTACTTTACAAAATTACTTTACAAACCCTTTTGCAAAAACAAAGTAAGACATTGTTAATCACAAATTGTAGCACTGTTAACAAAATATTATTCTAAGAAGATGCATACACATCTTTTCAATTAAAAAAAAAATAATAAGTCCTTGAGCTCAATTAAGGTAACTGAGCGACTTTACATTTAAGGATCCACATCATCAACATTTAGTAAGCCTTATCACTGGCTTTATACATATAGATAAAATGTGTGCATAGATAACTTTTGTTACATATTAAACACTAATGATAAAATTGTTATTTCTGGAAAGCACGGTCACATCACTTAACAGCAGTAAAATGTTTCACTGTGTCTGGTGAAAAGCTAAGTGCCCTTAAATCCATTCACTGGAAGTCACTTGGTAAAATTTGCCATTGTCTTCACTGCAAGGGTAAGGAAATGGAAAGAAAGGTCAACGGGTTGCCAAGAGTCACGGTCCAGCAAGAAACAAGAGCGAGTATTTCTTTCACACTCGGGCAGTTTGGATCTCAAATCTACTTTGTGAATCCATTTATACCAGGTCTAAAAACATGAATACCAAGTCCAAAAACATGCACTGAATCTGTGGTTTAGCAATGAGAAAATGCTACAGTAGCAGGAAGGGGTATGGACTGACCAAAGAGAGGCAAAAATGACCTTTACCAAAATGATGAAAATATCTTTTTATTATTTCCATAATGGTTTCATGGGTATACAACACTGTCAAACCTACCCACTAATCACACACTTATGTGTATATTATGATATGAAAATCACATCACAATAGAAAAGAGTTGATTTTTAATAGGGGCAACTCCTGGCAGAGTTCAGTCTAAATAACTAGTCTGTAAAAAGCCTAGGCTGTTGAGTGATGTCAGGAAGATTGGGGGCCACAAGGGCAAAACCAACAGTGCTCGGAGTTGTCCAGGCCTTACCCATTGGTTTCTGAGACAACAACAGCCACACCCAGAGATGTTCAGGGGACATGCAATGCCAGGGATTGAACTCAGGGCCTTGCACATGGCAGGCGGAAGCTCTAGCACTTGCACTAACACTCTGGCCTGAACATTTAAAGATGAACCCTTTGAGGAAAAGTATGATTCTATAGAGCAATTTTTCTTGGCTTAAATATTAAATGTAATCAAATATTGTGAACTACTTTATAAAATAACAAAATTAAAATTAAAAATAATAAAATTATATATGTATATATATATATATATATTTCAGGCAAGCAAAACTTTTTAGATTTAAATTTCCAACCCAAGGGGGGTGGTACCGGCATGTCCTTCACACCCTACCAAGGTCACGAGTTACCCCCCCACAAGCAGCTCTCCAGCCCAGCCATAACACCAGACACACAGAAACCAATCTCGTAATTATCTGGCTCTTTGCAGAAATCCAAAATCGTAGCCATGTGACATTGTATGATTCTCATAACCAGCTATAGAAAACAAAATATTTCACAATGTCTTTTCAGCAATTCTGATTGTTTGGGGGGGAAATTCTAAACAATAATGATGCATCTTTTGTCGAAATAATGAATGTAATCAATGTAAAGAAGAGTTAAGTAGAAATCATCTGCTTCACAGGCATTGGGAGGGTTGGGAGGGGGGGCATACTGGAGTTCTTCGTGGTGAAAAATGAGTTCTGGTGAAGAGAAAGGTGTTTGATCATTGTATGACCAAGACTTAAACCTGAAAGCTTAGTAACTTTTCCCACAGTGATTCAATAAATAAATATAAAAAATTTAAAAAAAAATTAAGATGGAGTTCATGCCCAATTTAATCAGCTAATCAGTGGCTGAATAAATAGCAGTACTCCTACAAAAAAAAAATGTTCAACCCAAAGGAATGGACAGTACAGAAATTAAGGAGCTTACCCTGCACGTGGCCAATTTCTCTTTTTCTTAATTTTTTATTTTTTAATGAATCACCATGAGATACAGTTACAGACTTACAAACTTTCATGCTCACGTTCCAGTCATACAATGAGTACCCATCCCTCCACCAGTGCCCACTCTCCACCACCAATGTTCCCAGTATCCCTCCATCCCTCCACCAGTGCCCACTCTCCACCACCAATGTTCCCAGTATCCCTCCCACATCCCGCCCCCCCCCCCACCCCGCCTCTGTGGCAGGCAGATTCCTTTTTTTACTTGCTCTCTCCTTTAGGGTGTTGTGGTCTGCAACGCAGGTATTAAGTGGCCATCATGTTGAGTCTATAGTCTACTCTCAGTACACATCTCCCATCTCGAGCGGGTCCTCCAAGCATCCTTTACTTGGTGGTCCCTTCTCTATCTGAACTGCCTTTTCCCTCAACAACACATGGCCAATTTCAATTAGACCCACTGAACAACATCTGGTCCCCCAAATACCATCAATGTGACCCTGGAACCCAGAGCCCCTGAGCACTGCAAAGAGTGGCTCAAAAACCCCAAAATTAAAACTTTTTAATTTCCCTTTATAACTAACAAAGTCACAAATTAATGTTTACAGAATCATGATTTTAAGCTAAAAGAGAGCAACCAGGTTTTGAGTCTACATGAAAATTACGATAGCACAGACACTCATGTCAAAACACCAAGTTAAAATTATCCTAATTAAGTTAAAACCTATATGGACACTTTAGCTTGGCTAAAAATAACAGTTGATACCATTTAGTAGAGTGAGCTCAATTCTTTTCTTCATTCTACCCGCATTTACTAAGCCTCCACTTAGTGCCTATGTTCCTGCTACCTTTTCACGGTGCATCCTCATTTCCACAAGCAAAATACAAAATAGCTAAAGGAATTTCCCCCTAAACTTAACAAGAAACATCAGAATTTTTTGCTGCAAGAAAAATATAAATCAAGTTTATGATTCTTGGACCTGTGGGAAAGAAAAAAAAAGGAAAAAACATGCAACGCTAATTCATAAGTATAAAATAAAGAAAACCTTTACCTGCTGCCCTGTAAAGTATTTTAGGTTCAAAAAATATACAAGGATTTTTATCCTGTATGCATGACAAAAGAAGTCCCTTGGCCTGGAAAGGGCTTCTGGGCACAACCACCTGTAAAAACAAATTTGTTTAAAGACAATTTTAGTGAAAATGTATACCAGTCAACTCACTTACAAGAAGGCCTGTAATTTAAACAACCAATTGTTACTAATTAAACGGAGACATCTGATGTTTTTAACCTAATTACCATTATTAAATTTACATATTATTCCCAAAATTTCCATCTCTTCAACAAATATTTATAAGATACCATATTCTTACCAATAAAATACTTTTCTTTCCCTAAAGAGCTCATTTCTATGTGAGTATATCACATATTAGTATGAAATAAAGGGAGTCCACAACAAGTCATCATCACACAGAAAGTGTCCATTTCTTTCCATAGACAAATACAAGTTTTTTACCACTACTCTCTTGCGACTTTCAAAAATATCCTCTCCAGTTTTTCTCCTTTCCCATAAAATTTCTCTTCTCCAAAATTACCTTTGCCATAAAGAATAGGCTCTTCAGGACTGAAGAGATAGTACAGTGGGTAAGATGCTTGCCTTGCCTGCAGGTGACCCAGGTTCAATCCCCAACAACCCACTGAGCCAAGTCCTCTATGTGGATTATTCATCTACTGTCCATAGCATTCCCAACAGGTGATTATCGTTATTTTCCCCAATCTACAGAGAGAAACTGAGATTTGAAGAAATTAACCCAGGTTACAGTGTGGATTAGCCTTCCATAAAGTTGCAGCCATGACCCTGGTTAGAATCCCCAGTACCCCATTTGGCCCCCTGAACACTGCCAGGAGTAACTCCTGCGCAGAGCTAGGTTAGCCCCTGAGAACTGCTTCTGGTTTCATCTAGATAAACCAAATTGTTGTTCATGAAGCAAAATGAAAACATAAAGCAGAAATCAAACACAGCACATAAATTAGATTACCTTGATGCCTGGGCAGTGGGCAAAAAAAGCTTCAGGACTCTGAGAGTGATAGAGAGCCCCGTGGCCAACACAGCCCCACGGAGACCGGATGGTGAGACTCCCACAGTTAAAAAGATCCCCAGAGCGGTAGCGATACTTGGCAGCTTCATTAACAATCTAAGAGGGAAAAAGACAAGACGAGTCACAATAGGTCTTGACTCTCGTTCCTTTTCCTAAGCCATTCTATTAGATGTTTGAATTCACGCCCACAACAAACAGCTTATGGTATCAAAAAGTCCCTAAGATAAGGACATGGGAGAGTGGAGGCAGTATTTTAATAGTTCAAAGCTTTTACTCTAGAAAAACTGTTATATTAAAATACAATCTCAAAGAGTATGAGACTAATATCCAAGGCCAGAAAAAAAACAGAGGCCAGGAGGACTGGTTGGAAACTTGCCACAAGTGTGTATTGCAGGGTGGGATGGGGTGGGGAGGTGGGGGAAGGGTAGTTAGGATAGAGAACAGAGAAGGAACCAGTATGACAATAATAGTTAGAAATGATCAACCTGGACAAGAGCTGAGTGTTGAAAGTATGTAAAGAGAGGGATAAACATGATATCCTTTCAGTATGCAAACCATAATGCCCAAAAGGAGAGAGAGAGAGAGAGAGAGACAGAGAGAGAGACAGACAGACAGACAGACAGACAGAGAGAGACAGAAAGAGAGAGAGAGAGAGAGAGAGAGAGAGAGAGAGAGAGAGAGAGAGAGAGAGAGAAAGTGGAGGGGTGGGGGGAAGGGGTCCAGAAGGGAAACCGAGGACACTGGTGGTGGAAAAGTACACTGGTGGAGGGATGTGTATTGGAACATTATATGACTGAAACCTGACTATGAACAACCTTGTAACTTTAAAAATAAAATAATGCAATCTCACCTGATCAAAAGCAGGGAAAATATAATCTGCAAACTGAATTTCAGCAATGGCCGTAGCACCAGTGACTGCAATTCCAATTCCAAATCCAACAATTCCTTGCTCACACAATGGGGTATTAAATACTCTATCCTTTCCTGAAAAACAAAGTCATCTTAATATAATAATCACATATGTTATTATGACAACGGAGAGGACTGTCATAAACATTTAGTTTCATACAACTGAAAATTCAATGACTTAATACTGACACAATGGAGGGGAAAACACAGAACCGTGAAGGAAACAAAATATAAATAGTACAAGGGTTGGTTGTCTTGCATGTGTGAGGCTCTGGAGTCGACTCCGTGTGCCTCTGGCTATCTCTCTCTTGATTCCCGCCAATACCTCTGGCCAGAGAAAAGTCAAGAGCAATTCCAAGTCCAAGGGCAATGCAACTAGGAGTATCGCCCCAAAAGGGAGGGGGGGATGTGCTGCATTAACTATAAGAAGTCTAAGTGCTCTAATTAAGAGAAGTATTACTATAGTAGGATAAAAGAATGCCAAGACCCAACTACTTAAAAGAAAACACCCAAACAACAAATGGAACAGAAAATGTGGGATGTGGGATGTGGGGTAGATAGTCAATGGCTAAAGGCTCAAGCACATGCTTTAAAAGCAGGAGGTCGACATGGGAAGCGGGGTGTTCCCAGCTCGTCCTTCATGCCCTACCGAGGTCAGGAGTTGCCCCCCACGAGCAGCTCTCTGGCACAGCCATAGCTCCAGAAGCACAAGGACTTAATGCAGAGCCCGGCAGCTTGCGGCAGAAAAGTGAATGGACTATTCACTTAATCCACACCACCTTGCCTGCCTGGAGGGGAAAGGGTGTTGGTCCTTTCCGCCTTTTTCCCCTCTGGAAAGCAAGATAGCAGCTGCTTCCGAGCTTTATGAAAAGCCAGGTTTGAGCCAGTCGTGATGGGGTGCTGCAACCTCATGGGAAGGGGAGGTGTTCCCACCTCATCTTTCACGCCCTACCGAGGTCACAAGTTGCCCCCCATGAGCGGCTCTCCGGCATGGCCGTGGCTCCAGAGCACAGAAACCAATCTCATAATTACCTGACTCTCAGCAGAAATACTTCCAGGCTTAATAAGTAAAATACCAGAAATCCAAAATCATTTGATTCTTGTAAGCAGCTATAGAAAACAAATTATTTCACAATACCTTTTCAGCATGTCTAATTTGGGGGTGTAAACTCTAAATAACAGTGGTGCATCTTTTGTCAAAACAATGAATCTAATCAAAGTAAATAGAGTGTTAACTAGAATTCATCTGCATCACGGGCATTGGGAGGGTTGGGGGGGGCGTTATTGGGGTTCTTGGTGGTGAAAAATAAGTATTGGTGAAGGGAAATGTGTTTGATAATTGCATGACCGAGACTTAAACCTGAAAGCTTTGTAACTTTTCCCACAGTGATTCAATAAATGAAAAATAAAATAAAATAAAATAAAAAAGCAGGAGGTTGAGATTTGGACACCCCATGGTTCCACTGAGCACCATAAGGAGTGACCCCTGAAACTGCCAAGTGTGACCCAAACTTGCCCAAGAGAGCAGGAATCCACAATGGAAAACAAAGAAAATAGAAAGTCAATGCCATCATAATAATAACAAACAGACTTAAGAAAAAAAAAAAGCAATACCAGGGGTCAGGAGGGAAAAATTGTATATTGAAAGGGTACAATGCATGAAGAAGAACAATTTCTAAATATACACTTAACTAATAATATGGGAGCCAAATAAATAGGAAAATTAGCAGAGTTAAAAGAAGAAATGGATCAGCTGCTGTGTAGGAGGAGTAAGACAAATGAGAGGGCCAGAATGAAAGCTCAGTGGGTAGGGCTTTTTTCTCCCATGCAGCTAATCTGCGTTCCATCTCTGGCACCCCACGTGGTCCCTGAGCACAGCCAAGAGTGATTCCTGAACATAGAGCCAGGAGTAACGCCAGAATAGTATTGTGTGTGGCCCCCATCCCAAAACAAAAACAAACCAAAAAATATGACAAAAGACATGCCAGTACGTAAAGGTAAAAACTATACACAATGCTTACACAATTAACATGACCTGACTGACATCCATAGAACACGTCGCCCAAGAGCTAAGACTACAGTTTTCAAGAGGAGAATACTGACATCAATTGTACCAAGGTGGGCGATAATCCCACCTAATTTAATCTTAACAAATTTCAGAGTATTAACATGATAGAGTATATTCCCTGACTGATATCATTAAACCAGAAAATCAATAACAAAAGAAAAAATATAAAATCTCAAAGTTAGGAAAATTGTAAATATATGCATGAATAACTCATGATTCGGAGACAATTAAATTTAATGTACAATAGATTTTTAAGCTGAATGTTAAATGCATCACAACGTATTGTACTTCCAAATTTGACGGCTTTTATTCAGACTGACCTTCCGACATCTGATTTAAAATTCTGGACAAAATATAACAAACTACCTAACAACACTGGACGGCCTACACTGAAGAGAAGTTGACACTTGAAAGAAAAGTGTAACGAATGACTATAAAGTGAATGAGCATGTTTGTTAGCTTGAAGTCTGGGGCACCCCAGAATCTGATATACAATGGTTAGAATTCAGACATGCTGAGTTTTACTAGCTGAGGCATCAGAAAATGAAGTCTGAGGCCATCAGTGACTGGACAGTGAATGAAGGATTTTAAGTTCCTTTTAAAAAGCACTAGAGGTGGCCAGAAAGACAATAGCTCAAGTGGCACAGCATAAGCCTTGCAGGTGTGAGCCCTCGAGTTTGACCAATCTTAATTACAGAGGAAGTGAGGAGGGTGAGGCCGGACAGTCAAGACCTCTTATTAGCTGTTTTATCTTCAATTTTTGGTCTTTATGCTACCTGGGGCTGGAGCGATAGCACAGCGGTAGGGTGTTCGCCTTACAAGCGGCCAACATGGCGACCCGAGTTCGATTCCTCCACCCCTCTCGGAGAGCCCGGCAAGCTACCGAGAGTATTCGATATGCCAAACACAGTAACAACAAAGTCTCCAATGGAGACGTTACTGGGCCCGCTCGAGCAAATCGACGATCAACGGGAGGGCCTTTACCTTTACCTTTACCTTATGCTACCTGGTTGGTTCTTTTCTGTTCCCAATCAGATTGAGTGAGCATTTTATAGAACCTCATTTACATATGGTGCAACCAACTGTGTATCTGCAGGAAACTTCAAAACCTAGCAGAGAGCACTTAAAAGCTAAAGAGGTGAACAGAAATTTCACCTCTACCCACTAAGGAAGAGGATCTAGAGGCTGAGACTCCTGAGCTTGAAGCAGTGTGCTAAACACCTCAAACTTTCCACTGAAACCACAAGATTAAATGTTAGCGAGGTACAACACAGCTCTCATCTGAAATTCCACCACCTCTCCGCCATTATCAGCAATTCCTGAAAAATTATCATTTCAGGGAGCTGCTTGGACACAAGCACTGGTTATTCTTGCCAGGTGGCCAAATCTGGGATTCCTATTTCAGTTCCCCAATCCGCGGATATCAGTTCTTCTTGGTTCACAGAATCCACTTTCAGCTCAATCATGCCTTTTGAATGTGAACTACAAAAAGGACAGGTGCTGGCAAAATACAGGCTAGACATCCTGTCGTTTGCACTCTTAACGCAGCTGCAAAAACTTAAGGCATGAGTCATACTCATCCCAAACTGTGATTATCTCCTGAAACTGTGACCTCTACCCCTCATCAGTTCCTATTTGCAAGAAGCCTGCTAATTTCTAAAAATCTATGATTCCATTGTACTCAGAACAAATCAATAATAGAAAACGAACATAAAATTTCATCTGCCGCTCATGAAATTCACATTCCTGGAATATCTGAGCCACCGTCACCAGATATGTAATGCTATTATTCATTTCTTCCTGCTTTACGTTCACTGGATTCAGAGGTTTTTACCTAGATATAGTTATTTTTGGACAGGTGTATTTTGGGGGAGGGGGAACTACTAGAAGTCAGAAAACTTAAAAGATTCTCGTTTTGAGAAAATAGCTTAACCGCTCTTTCTACCAAGTTTCTATGTTCTCGCAGAAATTGTTTTTACATGAGCTAAATATCAAAAAAGTCTGGTTCTATTTTCTCCCAAATGAGGGTAGGAACAGAAGTAAAATGCACAGTGCTGACAACTTTCTCTGTTTTACAATATACACAATATCCCAGTAAGCCACATGACACAGGCAGGGACAGCGCCACCAGTCAAGACTGACCTGAGTTTAAGGGCCACATTCACAAATAACTAAACCCCCTAAATGACAACTTCTTACCTATCACAGAAGCATCATGCTATAAAAAGACGAGGAATTTATACTTCTTCAAGAAATGTTTATAAATCATGTAATATTGCACAGACACTATTCAAGGTATTCAAGGAGAACACAGGAGCAAGTTTTAGAAAATCCTCGTGGAACTTAAGATTTTTCAGTTAGGTGAAACAGATCGAACAAAATGCATGGATCAAATATTCTGGCTGTTAAGTAATGACAGTGCTATGGCTAAAAGCGAAGTAGGGAACAGGTGAAATAGGGGAGGAGATGCAGCTACTGCAGTTCCTAAATAAGAAAATCAGGAAGCCCCTTAAATGTTACCTCTTGGTAACGTCCCTGAAGAATTAAAGGATGTGAAGAAGTATATTGCACACAGGTAAGGGAATAAATGTCCCAGGAAGAAAGAATGAGCAAAGGACCTACGGTATAAGCATGTTCAGAACATCAAGAAGAAGGCAAGGAGTCCAGAGTGTCTGGTCTTAAAAGAAAGGGTAAAGAGGAAACGGAAGAGCTAAAGAGAGAGGCTGAGGAGAAAGCACAGGTCAGACCGTCCCTCTGGCACTCGCTGTGAGAATGACTGAGTCATTCACTAAGTGAGAGAGACAGGAAGCAAATTCGTGCCATTCTCAGAGCTATATTTGAACAAGATTCCTCTGGATGGCATTTGGTGAATAGTCTGCAAAAAGAAAGTGGACAAAACATAGAGGACAGACTAAGAACCCTATAGTCAACATACTGAGAGATAAGGTAGGCAATATTACAATCATATAGTAATAAAATAGGTAATGCAGATAACATAGGCATATGA